AACACACACACACACACACACACACACACACCACACACACACACACACACACACACACACACACACACACACACACACACACACCACACACACACACACACACACACACACACACACACACACACACACACACACACACACACACACACACACACACACACACACACACACACACACACACACCACACACACACACACGCACGCACGCACGCACGCACACACGCACACACACACACACACACACACGCACACACACACACACACACACACACACACACGCACACACACACACACACAATCACCAGAAACACGAGCTCATTGGTCTCACTTCTTTGTCCTATCTTCTTTTACGCAATGGCGCATACACACTACGGTATTGCCCGACCTCGTTCTATGCCTGTGGCATTATCCCCCCTTCCGAAAAAAATTCTCCTGGTTTTCAACGCTTGCTAAAATGGAAAGAAATCCCGCGCACGTGCAAACACGCATGATGTGTCAAGTTGCACCGGGGTGATGTGGCTTCATTTTCGACACATGGATAATGTGCGCCCACTGAGAACGACAAGATCGCCGAGTTGTGGCTTCAAGCAGGGTTTCGTATAGTTGACGCCGTTGAGGCATATAGTATGTTTCTCTATGGTTAAGGCGCCGTAGTACTCGATGCGGACTGGAGTAGCGGTAAAGTAAGTTTTCCAAGCGGGCCCTTTGTCGAAAGGACAATCCACAATCACCGGGTTGGTGAATAACATGGCGATGACTAGAATTGTATCCTTGCGAGTGGATGCGTTGTTGTTTTTGGATCCGCTAAAGTGCTAGCTTGCGGGCTGCGTCTGCCAGGCGGATAAAGTCGTTCGCATCAGTAGCAATGTTGTTCATATCAGCTAGGAGCATGGCATTCAGCATCGCGTAATTGCTTCTCGACCATGAAGCAACCGGAAAGGGTGAACCCTGTTGTCTCTTGAACTGCAGTGTTGTAGGCGAACGTAATGCATGGCAGAACGTCCATCCCAGTTTTTGTGATCGCGGTCAAACTACATGCACATCATGTCAGCGAGCGTCTTATCTCCCAGTCAGACCATTCGTTTGTGGATGGTATGTGGTCGTTTTGCGATGACCGGTTCCGCTATGCCTCAGGACGTCTTGTACCAGTTGTGCTGTAAAGGCTGTTCTACGGTCAGTGATGACAACTGTTGCGCTCCATGGCGGAGGATGATGTTGTTCATGAAAAAAGTGCACAATCTCATTGGTGGTGCTTCTCGTTGTAGCACTTTGGTTTCGCAGTACCTCGTCAAATTGTCAGTAGCGACTACGATCCAGCGGATGCCATCATGTGACTTCGGAAAAGACCCGAACAAGTCCATGCCGATTTGTTCAAACGGTTGTGATGGTGGTGCAACAGGTTTCAATAAACCAGCGGGGCGCACAGATGGGTATTCACGGTGCTGGCCATGGTTAATTAATTATTGACGTCCTCAGTGAGTTTGGGCCAGTAGTAGTGAGTACAAATCCGGGTTAGGGTACGCGCGATTTCGAAGTGACCGGATGAAGACTCGTTGTGGCTTGCAGATAAAATGACAGCACGTAGTACTGACGGAACAACGAGCAAATGTTTGGTCACATAAGGTTCGAAGTTTCTTTTGTAGAGGACGTTGTTACAGAGACAAAGCGACCTTGAACGCGCAAATGCCAACAGTAGACTCGAGCGGAGGCTTTCAAGGTATTCGATAAGTTGTCCGCTTTTGTTGGGCCAAGTCAGATTCAGTGACCGCGCAAAGGAAACTGACATCGGTGTCATCATCGCTCGATGTCGTGGCAAGTGGAGAGCGCGAAATGCAATCGGCATCAGGGTGATCGGGACCAGACTTGTCGACTACTGTTACGTCAGATTCTTGAAGGCGCAAGCTCCATCTCGCGAGCCACCCTGAAGAGTCCTTGAGATTGGCCAGCCAACAGAGGGCATGGTGGTCTGTAACAACCCTGAATGGACGACCCTAAAGATAGGGTCGGAACTTGGAGATCGCCAAAATGACAGCAAGACACTTTAGTTAGACTCCGCAGATGAAAAAAATGCGTCTAGCATAAGCGATGGGAAGGTCGACGCCTTCTTGCCACTGGAAGAGCACTTCAACAAGACCGATGTTGTTTGCATCAGTGTGCAGTTCGGCGGGGGCATCTTCATCAAGGTGCCCTAGTAAGGGCTCAGTCTGAAGGCGCTGCTGAAGCTCGGAAAAAACGTGCCTTTGTTCTGGACCCTAGACAAAAAGTGTATCCTCTTTCGTTAAGCGAGTAAGGGGTTCGGCGATGTTCGTGAAGTTCTGCACAAATCACCCGTGGAATGCGCAGTGACCCTAGAAATCGGGGCACATCTCGTTTGTTCGAAGGCGGGAGAAATGCAGAAACGACCATTGCCTTATTGTGGTCTGGCTGACTGTCATCATACTGACAAGGTGGTTAAAGAACTTTAGTTCCTCCTAGTTAAAAGAATCTCCTCTGGTTTCAGTGATAGACCTGCGGATCTAATAGTGACGACGATAGGCCGAAGTCGCTGCAAACGTTGATCAAATGTTTGCGAAAAAAGAACAACTTGTCTGATAGATGAGGCGTGGTTCACTTCAGACCTGACGGCACGGTGTCCATCATCGTCGCTGGGGCACAGCACAGTCTGAGCGCGAGCACTTTAAATTCGTAAAGGCCATCGGGAGATATCAATGCTGTTTTTCCCTGTACCGTTCATCGACCTCGGTCAGCCAGCAGCCGCTTCGCAAATCCATTGATGACAATACTGGGCATGTTAAAGTCCATCTAGTGAGTCGTCTATGCGTGGGAGAGTTTAGTCGTCCTTCCTCGTCACTTCGATAAGTTTCCGGTAATCCACGCAAAATCAAAGAGTGCCGTCTTTTTTGTTAAAATGTACGACGGGCGATGCCCATGGACTGTTCGAGGGTTGGATGACGTCGTCGTCGAGCATCTGGTACACCTGCGAACGTATCACCTCTTGTTCTTTTTGCGACACTCGGTATATATGCATGCTGTTGGACTGGCCGTTCAGCATAGGTCCATTATAATGCGGTGCTTCCCGGTTGCGGTCTGCTTAATTTTTGATGTCGACGCAATACGGTCACTAGACATTATGTGCATATCTGCTCCTTCTGCGCGGGGGAGAGCTGTGGATTCCCATCAACAGTACTGGCCACTGGAGTGTCACATTCGGCGGCTGTGGAAATCGTACTGACATTAGAAAATGCTTGGTCAACAACGGCTTCGAAGTGCGCCGTTACTGTTCGCTTTGCCGAGTGTTGGTACTCGCCACTGAAATTTGTAGCCAAAAGCTGAGTCCTCAAACGTATAGTGTTTCTGAACTGTGTCACGCTATATAACGCATCTGCGTGTTGCACCCCTTCATGCCTTGCTAGCTGGAACTGCGGGAACGTCATCCTGAGGTTGCTGCTTGCGAGCTGCTTCGAGCAAAGTATACGTGCCAAAAAGTTTTTTTATTTGAGCCGCATATGCGTCTCATTATATCGTGACGTACGTAATCTTGTCTGGATTACCGCATGCACTAGACATTTCTTGCACAATCTTGAGGGGCCATTTCAGCAAAACGAATCTCTCTGCTTCATTCTCCGCTTCGCGACGCTTAATTGAACCAGCGGTGAGTGTAGGGGCGCTTGCCTTATTTCTGTGCACGTATGTCTTTGTAGCGGCACATTTTATTGATTGGTAATCTTTTTGATTGGTAGCTCATTGGTAAAGCACCAGATGCTTTATTCAAAGCTTCCTAGGTGCAGTCCCTGCTTGCCGGCGAATAGTTATCTTTTAAGCCACTTTCTTTCTTCACATTTACATTACGAACACTTCTAATCATGTCACTATACTGTCACTGACATCACTATCTGCATGTTCTCATTTATAATGCTGTGAGACTATCTTCTGTGCCTTTTGCAAAGGGATATAAAAAAAAGACCTCACCAATAAGACATCACTTTCCAAAATCTTGCTATTTTTCATTTTGTGTATTATGACAAAGCCGTCTAATGGGTACCATGTCGGCATGAAGACCGAAAACGTGAGTGTGAATGAGAGTACTTTTTGTTGTCTGTGTTGCTGTCTGTATGCTATTTACTGCGCAGCTGAGCCTTCAGAACCGTATTCTATTGACCACATTCGCTGGCAGACCTTTTTTGCAGCTGGGGCTAGCAGGTTTGTTCAAGAAGAATTTGTTGATCGACTAGTTGGTACGTGTCTCGATATATACAGAGTATTTGCAGCGCTAAGAAGCAAGAACCAATGAAGAACCAAACAATGCTTTTCAAAAATATTAGTTGAAAACAGCGCAAGCGCGTGTCGTTTGTGTCTCCTTTGGTCGTCGTTTCTTAGAGCTGCAAGTACTCGGTATGTATCAAGCTCAAAGTTTAGTGGAAGTGATCGATTCAACCCAGCGAAGAAAAAAAAAATATGGGAAGCGCAAAATTGTATCAGGGTCCTGTTGTGCGTGATCACAACATTTTCCGGGTGAATTAAATTTATACTTCTAATGCTATTATACGTATACGGTATCGGACAACAAATTGTCTTGCTTTATAATACAGGTGTTCTTAGCGCTTGCAGTCAATGTTAGGTTTCTGCCTCTAACTTTCCATTCAATTTCTTTTTCGCTACTTCCTGTACCAGCGTTTTTTCGGGTTCCATCTGTTGCCTTCTAAGTCTGGCTTCTGAGTCACAAAAGTACACCTTTGCTAACACCACATAACTTTTCACCGGGCTTTTAAAAAATGAATGAATGAATGACCATTTTCTTATGAAGTTGTAGTTCATTGCCATTGATTTGAATTCAGCTAGGAGACCACGATCATAGACTGCGCACGCCTACGACCATCATAGCATTCAGAGCAAAGTATCGCTGCTTGATTTGGGCCTTGGCAGTTTTTTTTAGCCCGAAAACATCTCTAGAAGCTATTCACCGATTGTTAAATATCATCTCATCACGTTCACATTTGCAGGTCCTCGGCAGAAGTTCCTACGACACCAGATGTGACTGGATCCAGCATTGTAGGTAAGATTTGCGACACAGCACCGGTAAAAGCAAAGCGAACATATAAGAATAAACGACTAGTGGTCATGTATTTTTAATAGAGCTGCACACAGAGTGAGGAACAGCTCAACAAGCCGAAGCTAACTAAAGAATCAGTTTAAAGAAAAGCTAGCAATAGTTTCGTGTACGAATACAACCGATGAGTGAAGCTACTTAGAAATGGGACGCAAACGCATCCGCCTGATTCAGCAACTGGCTTTCATGGAGGTGTTAGGGTGAGTTTGCGGCGGGCGTGGTGCAGATCGAGCCACCTGCGCCCGCACTCCCACTGCGCCAGGAGCACAAACCTGTTGTATTGCTCGGCGTGCTTGCGAAGCGCAGGGAGCTTCGACGACGACGGTGGGGTGCGGCCCTAAGACGCTTCGCTCCTAAACGAACAAACAAATCGTTCGAGTGATGGTAAGTAGTGATACTGGCCATATAAACAGCTATGACTCGGAGTGTTAACAATGTGCCAAGCATTGACATTCGCCAAGCATTAGCAGTAAACACAAAAAGTGTCACTTGTAAGGGTCATGTACCGTTACTTCTCGTCGTGAGGAGAAAAAAAATTACATTTCTCTCACTTGATATTATTCAAGCCTAACTGTGTCGTGACGTTTGCAGCATCCATCGACAGTGAATGGGTCATATTTAGTAGAGGGAACTGTATTACTCCTATATATGAAGAGAAGCAGTGAAAACGTATTGAATAAAGCGAGCCGATGACAGAGTACAGTTTGTTTGCTTAGGTTCTCTACTGGGACGTGTAAATTAAAGAAATCTGCTAACCTTAAATGAGTGTAGTTCAATTGATTAAGCTCCTGTGGTAGAAAAATGTTCATAACAGCTTTTTGATGCTAGTTGAAGTGCAATTTCTGGGCAGAATAACCTTAGTCATAAGTACATAACACCCCATTACCTATACAATATATCCTCATAATATACCTATAAGCTACATGTATTCATAGTATATCTTGAAATACGCATTTGTTCTGAAGTTTTATGTAAAAAAAGTCGATTAAGATGTTATTCTTCAGCGATTCATCTTGAGACGCTTCTTGAACTACAATAAAGTGCATCACATCCACTTTCCGGATATTTCACTGCAGGGAAGACGCTGTACCTGACGCCGTTCATTAAGGCAGGCAAGCTCGAGCATGCGAAGTCGCTCAGCAAGGTGGGACGCATCGGAGCCGACAAGGAAGTGACCAGCTACGCCGGATACATCACTGTCAATCCAGAATTTAACAGTAACCTGTTCTTTTGGTTCGTACCTTCAATGGTAAGTAAATCGCACTGTCCAAGCATGGGTATTTTTCAGAGTGTTGTTGCAGAGTTCTTGTATGCTTGTATGCCGAAGAATAACTTCGGTTGCCGCAAGTTTGACCTCGTGTTTTCAGAAGGTTCAAGAGCACCTTAGTACCCTATCTGACAAATGCCTATTCACTTGTAGTTGCGTGAGAAGCAATCCCAATACCATATTTGAACTTCAATTACAATGCAAATTTATAACGAATTCATTTTAAGCAATCGTAATACATGTGCGTAACTTTCGCATGACATATCATGAAAAAGGAGGTAAATCTACTGGTTAAGTAAGAAAGGTTATACAGTAGCACTGAAAGCTGCAGGCAGTGTGGAACAGTGTTTCCTATATTCTACAGCGACGCTGGTGTCCACGGCCAAGTGCGCACTAAAGTTCCAAACGTACATCTGTTGTGCGGTGGCCCCCGTTTTTCATTTTCTCCTTAGCTTTACATCACTTTTTCTCTTCCTCACCCCCCTTCGGCACCTTAGTTATGCATGCGTGGCCTGACTATGCAAGACTATGGTATACATTCTCTAGCCTGAGCAATGGCATAGGCAAAAACTTGTTCCACTGGAGCACGTCCCTGAACCGACATGGGTTCTTGGCAAGTCAATGCGGTCGAATGTCATTTCGAGTTCTGTATCACGAGGAAGAAAGAATAATTTCGAGAGGGAGGGGGACACTCAGCGTGCTACCTCTTGGCTACGCCACTGGGCCTGTGTGACACCATGAATGGCCATGCTGCGATGTACCCTTTTCCCCCTCTCTTTCCCCCTTCTCACACCAGTCTTTCACCACCAGCCTTTTCCCTCTCCCTGCTATGCCATAATATGCATAAATATGCTGTGCATGCCTATACTGTACATGCGCAGCCTGTGTGACGCATATAGCGATGACATGAGATGATAGAAAACGGCATGAGTCAATGGTCTCTCCACTCCTAAAGAAACAAATGATCATGTTGGCAGTTCGTAGGCGACAACAATTGACCTACGCAGACAACTACATTCCACGTACAAAACAGAATATTTTACCAACAAGTTGCATTCGAAGTGTAGGACAGCTGTCACAGGTAGTATGCACTGATATTTCCGAGAAATGCTGATCATTTATGGATAAAATGGCCGATTCACACTCATTGTCTCAGCTACAGACACGGTGGTGGCTACAGAGATAGTATTTAAGTGGTGTAACTATCATCTTTGTCACTTCTGACTGCTATGCATTCACGTACGCAGACTACTCCTGACATTGCTCCTGTGTTGCTGTGGCTACAAGGTGGACCAGGCTCGTCCTCCCTTATGGGATTCTTCGTCGAACATGGTCCGTACCAATTGTCGAAAGACGGCAAGGAGGTCAAGTACCGTGGGCGAACGTGGGCCCGTCGCTTGTCCATGCTTTACGTCGACCACCCTGTCGGCACCGGGTACAGCTTCACCGAGAGCGAAAGCGGCTATGCACGCGACATGACCGACGTGGGTCGCGACATGCTCGAGTTCCTCCAGCAGTTCTTCACACTGTTCGGAGAGCTGGCCCAAAACGAGTTCTACGTCACCGGAGAGTCTTACGCCGGTACGTGACGCTTTCACTTTGCCTGAGCATATGCGGTCACAGGGTGTTCATTTTCTCTGTCTATGTTTATTGTTTCACATGTGTTCCACACTGTCAGGACTTTGCAGTTGGGGGTATATAAGAATACTCACGTTTAAAAGAAAAGGGGTAAATAAAACTGAACCAAAAAATGTATCATATGCAGTTTTCTTAATACATAGATGTCACACTTGTTTAGATACATTCATACATTTGAAATCTACGCCAATGTAGTCCTTCACTGAATGAAATTCACGGGCAGAAATACCAGGTGAACCCATAAGCGTGCTCGAAATTCTCCGTGAGGGGAAGTGAAGTTTCACCACAAACACCCTTTCCACTTAGCCCCCTTCCCCACCCCCCGGTCAAGTCCGTAAGTAAACAAGCCGACGACGTTTTTATGACGAGACAGGGATTTCACCTCTCTCCCTACTTACATGAATAGAGGGGGAGGGTTAGGCTGCCCATCCTGCGCGTGCGCCTATTGGTTCACTAATGCCATGTATGCATATAATGCAGGTTTTTCTTGTAAAAAAAAAGAGTGTACGTGAAAGTCGTTACTTTATGCCAAAAGGGAATTTTTTTACACATTATGAAATATTTTTCTTCCAAAAGCGCTACGTTATCAGCCGGCTAAGTATGTAAAGCATTCGGTATTGTTGTTCAACGAGCAATGCAGTGTGTATGCAGTGCGAAACACATTTCATTCTACATTACCCTTGCCCCACTCCACATTTCAAGCATTGTCTATCCTGCGCAGGCAAGTACGTACCAACGATCGGCGCAGTGCTGCACCAGAACGCCGCCACGATGCGGGTCAAGATTAACTTCCGAGGGATCGCCATAGGCAATGGCTTCACGGACCCCGTCAACATGCTGGGCTTCGGCGAACTTCTCTACGGCTTTGGACTCATAGACCGCATCTCCGCCGACTACATGATGCACGTCGCCGACCAGGCGGCCGACTGCATCCGTTCCGGACTCATGCGAGACGCCGCGGTGCTGATGGACAGGCTGTTCTTCGGCGTGCTACACGAGAGTACATTTTTCAAGAACGTCACGGGCATGCACTACTATTACAACTTGCTTCAAGACAGTCCGCCAAAGGACAACTCCGCGTACATGACTTTTGTGCAGAGACCGGAACTGCGGCGCGCGCTGCACGTGGGAAATCAAACGTTCCACATGTCGCGTACCGCCGTGGCTTCACACTTCTACGAAGACCTGCTGAATTCGGCCAAGCCGCAGTTCACCGTAGTCGTCGAGGGTGGCTATAAGGTGCTCGTGTACAGCGGTAACCTTGACATGGCAATGTCCACCACCCAGACCGAGAACTTTTTGTCGCAGGTGGACTGGTCTCACGCCGGCCGTTGGTACCGCGAACCGCGCACTATTTGGCGTAGCTCCGATGGGCGCCTGCTGTACGGCTACAAGAAGACAGTCGAAAATCTCAACTTCGTGGTGGTGCGAAACGGCGGCCATCTATTGGCTTTCGATCGTCCCAAGGTCGCGTATGAACTCATCACTGCTTTCATCGAAAACAGGCACCCCTTCAAAGGCTAGTCTTTTTCGTTAGACAGTGAACTAAAACATAATGTCTATAGCATGGCCACCAGCTTATGGCTTCACCACCATCTCCAACGTTTCCGCCCCGTCGGTTTTCGGCTGCGGTTCGCGCTGGGTGCCATGCATTTCACCTTCGAAATATCGTCACGCGGAACCGCTGGTGCGATGTGAGCTGTCGTGGTTAATAGGCTCGTAAAATATACCGCGAGTTCCAAGATCAGAGGGTGGTTGTTTTCTCGCCTTCGCTGCCCTTCCTACAGACGCTGTAGATCTCCTCTTCGGCGCTCATTTATTCATAAGACGCGTGAATAATGCAAATACTAAGTGTTTAACCGATAAAGATTGCGCTATTTTCGACTACACATGACTGAATCCGCTTACGCAGCCGAAAGCACACGGGAAGGGGTGACAGTGGATCGCGCACGATACCCTGACGAGAACAGGCAGAACGGCCGTTCGACTCCATGGCGGAGCAGGGCAGGAGGCACCTTTCAAGCGCGACGTTCTTCATATATAGACCAAACGAGAGCGTATTTCCTCACTGCATCACTCGAACACGCTGCTTGGTCATGAATTGTGCCGAAAAGACGGGGAACGCCAAAAGAGAATAACGCGTTACAAGTACACGAGCACTGAGCGAAGATAGCGCACCATTTACCGTTTGGAGCGGTTTTTTAAACATGGAAATTTTTAAACTCTTGTAGACCATCTTTATGTTTCCTAGTTTCCGAGACAGTCAGTGTGACCTAGAAGAAAAGCAAATAGACACACTTGGCAGACATGAAGAGGCATAAAACGAGTGCTCATCTGAATTGCATATGATAGCAAAAAGCTGAACTAGTTGGTAGGTAACTATTCTTAAAAAAAAACTGAGCGTGCAAACATGGCATTTTTGGTGTCATGACTTCTTTTTTTGTGCTCGTGTTTGCGTGCCAAGTTTTCTAGAATGAATACAAATCAACTAGTTTATATATCTCTCTGTTATTCTAAGCTCGATTTTTAGTACTATGAGCACTTTTCCATGTACTCGCATTTAAAGAGTTCTGCTTTTCTTGGTTTCTTCATTTGCTAGTTGTGGACAAGGTAAAAGCGGACGAAAATCGGAAGACCATCAAGTTTTTAGAAATTCAACGTGATTTCGGGATCCGCACGCTCACAGGCACACACATGCGCGCACGAACGCTTCCACAAAAACACGCGTATGCACACGCGCACACACACTATCGTATTCCCGATAACAAGCGTATATCTTCGCTTCTCAGTGTAGGCATAAAGTGCGCCGCAAGAAGAGGCAAAGTGAACACACCCTCTGGCTCCTGTATTTGTGGCATCTACTTCAAGTTTTTGCTCCCGGCCAAGGCTGCTTTTTCACTCACAACCAAAGATGCCACCGCCAACACCGGAAGTTCTGCAAAACGAACGTTTTAATGCTTTCGCGTTAAGATCAACTTGTCACAGGTGGAACCGAGCCCACAACCACCATGTTATTTTCTTTGGCGGTCACTTTTCTGTTTATATTCTACGATACTTCTGTGCATGTAACCCTGAGAGAGTTAACCCGCGCCACCCTTAAGCAGCATAGAAAACCGTCAATGAAAGCGTGCCCAGTTCTCAGCTGTTTCGTGGACTTGACTTGCTTGGTTTACCTGTGTGCCCTTTTCATGGTACACAATGAGTGAAATGCTCAAGCGAAATTATGTGCAATCACAGTGCACGTGTCACATTACCCATCGACAAATAAAACTTAATTACAAGTAATGCAAGCCTGCTTGGGAGCTCTGCTCCCATGTTTCTAACTTTTCGTCTTGTCAGGACAGTGCGAAAATAGATTTGGCGAAGCTTTTCAATGACGACAATAACAAATAACTAAACATGTAGAGGTCCACCTCACATGAACATCAACGGCCATATGGGTCACAAAATGTCAATGCATGTCGTGCCACTTTCATACATCCAATCGCTCATTTGTTTGATCCGATGTTCCTGATTACAGCGAGAGTAGAGTCGGTGCTGATGCGACATTGTTATGATTTAGCGCGTCACAATGTATGAACGTCAGCTCGTAGCTCGCTTTTGTTGAACAAGGTCAAAACGTATCACACGTGGAATTTCTATTTGCAACGGGTTTATCGGTTCATAACACTTGCGAGTGATGCGAAGGTCGCGCAATATACTCCTATTATTGCTGTATTATTTTCGCTGTGCACATTGTGCCCGGTTTCTGTGTGTCGCGGTGAACTGAAATTGATTGTGATTTGTCACCAATTCCATTAGAGATTCAGTTTGGTTGGAGAAGAAAATAAACAATATCAGGCTAAATAAATTCTATCATATCTGTGAATTACTTGATTTATTTTATCTTCTCGATATTAACACGAACACACGCTATGAGCAAAAATAAAAACAGGGACGAAAAAAGACGTACACGGGACGACCAATAGCCCAACTTTTGGCTTTGACTGCTAGGTTCATTTCTCTTTGTTTTGTTTGTGATCTCTTCCACAGGCCCCGAAATGAAAGTAGGGATCAAGTAAGTTTAGATATTAACTTTGATATTTCTTGAATCATGATTACACTGCACAATAAGTGCTAACCACGCGCATACACGAAGTATATAGAAAAGGGGGACTTACGGATGGGCGACCCGTCAGGCTATATACTGAGGTTTTACGCCGATCAACTTTATGAAAATATGTAATAGGATCCCCAGAAAATAAACAAAACGAAAACATGAACGCATTATTATTATTATAGTGTCGGCACGCAAATTCAACAATATAGGGAGAGCGAGTGTTGTAACAACCCAACCAAGATTTAGGGAATGATCGAAGTCAGAAGGACAGTGCAGCAATAGGAGCTTGATTTGAGCAAATTGGTTCATCGTAGATACATCGTAGTTACCGCGCAGCAATGTTAGAAAGAAACAAAATCGACAGAAAAAAGTGCAATTCCATCGCTCTTGTCGGTTCATGATGCTTTCGCGACCGTTGCCACGCTGCAACTACAAAATAAGCGAAGGACTTGCACGCTTTCAACTCCAGTATCTTTATAACTTCGGCATAATAAAGCTCACTGGCTTAAGAGTCGTTCGGAAAAAGCCAGATGATATCTGTAGAGAACAACGGGTAAAGTGCTTTATTATTGAAGCCAGAGTGGTCGCCTGTGGACAACAATGTACTGGCGCAGATATTTGAAACAAGAAAAATGAAGCAATTTTCGAGAAGAGAAAAAAAAATGCCAGGACATTCACCTTGCAAGAACAGCGGAAGGCACATATGCTTCACAAGATCTGGTATCACAAGATGTACTGGAGCATTTATTGCGCATTCTTCCAGCAACGACAACAAGTTGCAAAGTTAGATTAGGAACGGCAAACAGCTAGAAACTTGCAGCGCACATCTCAAGCCCGCACAAAATTAGCATACACAGGACGACCGCGGCCTAACAACTGTAACAGCTCGACACTTGAAGCGTGCTGTTCAAACAGAAAAACAAGACGCACGAAATGACCGCACAAGATACACAGGACAAGCGCGAACAACTGTCACGATTTTTTCTGTGTCGTGTGTCAGCATCGCGCTCCTTTCATAAACGCGGCCGTGGCAGCGTGCGAAGTGTCCTTCGTCCTCTCCCGAATTACGGGTCTGACAAGCGCGCGTGCAGGAGAGACAACGCTCCGCGGAGGCGGCGCTTCGTGGAGACGACGACCTTTAGAGAGAGTCCAACGCGAGCCTGTCGCGCCATCTCGCCACTGGTAACAAAAAAAGCGCTAAAGTTTCGAAGGTCTGAGGACTGCCAAACGGTTTATGGTGTATATAAATGGCTTACCGTTAGTATACCCAACAATGTACGTTCTGTGGCGTAGCGGCTGAAAATCGAGAGGTTGCTGGTTCGATTCCGTGCGAAAAGTTCTTTCCTTCTGTTTTTTTTGCAATCTTTTAGTATATATTTTCAACATCGCTTCCGTGACGGAAGTACGTCAGCGGAGCCGTGGTAGACCCCGGCATAAAACACTTTCGTGTTAAAAAAGAAGACAAATAGCTAGAAGGCTCACAGCTTAAGATGAAGCGACACATTGTCGTAAGAAACAGGCTATGAGTCACTGCCTAATTAAAAAAAATACCAGTAAGCATCATCATCTTCTCGATGATGCGCGATATAAGAACGACAGAAAACTACAGCACTTGCAGTGCTTAGTTGAGTATACAGAAGGATAGCTTCACTAATGTTCAGGTGAAAACATTGATGCAGCGTCTCCGCAAAAGCGTAGCGGTTAGAGCGCACGTCAGAGTAGCAATACACCTACAACATAATCTACACCACCTAGATATGTCGGGCCATCTCCAGTCTATCTAACATTCGCTAGGTGTGTGTGTGTGGAGCGGTAAGAGAAGCTGCTGGTTAGCGATAGACTTGAGATTACAACTCCATTTGATGACAGCTCTCCGTTTGATTCGCGGGTTTGATTCCAGCCGTTGAGGTGGTATTTCTATGGAGGCGGTATGCTAGAGGCCTGTGTGCTGTGCGATGTCAGTGCAGGTGATCAAAATTTCTGGAGCCCTCCACTACGGCGTCTCTCATCACCATCTCATGGATTTGAAGCGTTAGGCGCCAGACAGTATTACTGAAAATGGGAATAGTAGCGCTGCCCTTAGAGAAAAAAAGGACATTGCAATAATCAACAGCAATGCTAGATCATATATTCTATCGCCATATCATTTTTAATTGGGTCGACACACTGTGATCAACTCGGTCGTGTGATACACGAACTTAAAATTCAGACTCCTCTGCCAATCTGAGTGTGAGAGTTAGCTTCACTGCAGTGATGTCAAGGGCAGACGCAGATTAAGTTACACAGAAAGTTTATTTCGAGGTAGTGGGGAAAGGTCCAGTCATCGTTTGTACATGTGTTTGTATATGTGCGCCTCCATTGATACGCGCTAAATGTAGATATTAGGAAGCGGGAGGGGAAGTGGTTTAGACAGTTAGAACCCGCCAAATTTTTGGAATATTGAACGTCTACATACACACACGCGAAACGAAAAAAAATCAGGATGTGGTTTGTATGATCGATCAATCGATTGATTGATTGATTGATTGATTGAAAAACATCATTGAACGAATATGAGATACAAGAGTCCCTAGTCCAGGACTCCAGTGGCCGATCGTAATGCGGGAAACCTTTATGGGTCTTCGAGTCAGCTCGAGTGAGGATGGCCTCTCGGGACTCGCTGAGAAAGATTTGAACTATACCCGAAACTACTCCCTAGCAATGCCATTGGTGAACAGATATTTTGTAACAGATCAAAAAGAGTGCTTCCAGTCAAATCCTATTATCGCACAATCGTTATCAAGTGATTCAGCGCATGCCTTCCCTGCTGAGCGTCACTGCACTTTCAGCCCCCCTCTTTTTTAAATTTATGCAGCTAGTTGGGACATGCAATAAAACACACCCATGTAGAACAGAGAGAGAGAGAGAGAGAGAGAGAGAGAGAGAGAGAGAGATGTCAACGACAAGCAGGGAGGTTACCCGGGAAAAAGTTTCCGGTGTGCTACCCAGCACTGGGGAATGGATACGGGGGAACAGAAAGGCAAGAAACTACTAAAAGTGAGAAAATGTATTTAAGAGAAAAAACTATTGAAGGAGAGGAAGAGAAAGAAAGCATGCTTACACGCTTAAGCACTGGATTGTCATGGTTGTTTAGACTGACCAAAGGATGGAACAGATGGAAGGGCTGCTGTAACGCTGACTGTTACGAGTATCAACGTGAGCAGCGAGCACGTCTCGAAATGGGGAGAAGGAAGAAAAAAAAACTTTAATGACACTAGCAGTTTACTTGGCTCCCCTCTACCCACTCATTTGGGAGGCATAAATACTTACAGGCGTGACCTCTCACGACAAAGAGCTGCGCGTTCGTATTATTTCGGGTTTTCGAAAAAAAAAGTTTGAAAAAGTTTGATTGACCTGGATATGCACGTGTATGAAAACAATACAGATACACTCGATGCATGTGTGAAGCAGCGGTATCAAACTAGGAGCTAGACACGAGCTGTAACTACTACATTTGCAGTGTACTTCACTCAAGCATTGTGCACGCCAGCGGTGAGCCATAACTTTTTAGCGTTAAAGAGGTGGAGAGAAACTTTTTTCTCGGTTTTGACTGATTATTCAACTTTTAAGGACTCTATTGTTAATTTCACTATCATAGGCTCACTGTTAAAACTCGTTGTGGTCTAAGAAATATGGTGCGCTGACGATTACGGGTCACAGCAGCCCCATTTCGGTGTAAGAGAAAGTGATAGCTGGCAGGGGTGGTTAAATTTATACGCACACTTATTCAATTTATAGATACCTCAAGGGTGCCAGTAGGACATTGCTGTAATCGTTAAAAAAACTCAATGGTAAAATTTACTGAACCCTGCACAACGGTCTCCGGATAATCAGATACCCAATAATAATTAATACCTGATATAGCTGATAAAAGAGGATGACCGCCGCGGTATAGCCTTAACTGCTGATTAGTCGGGCGCATTATTCGAAGTCTACTGGCTCGGTTTCTGCTGCAGCGGCAAGTTTCATTTTCATGCACCCTAACTTCTTCTCATTTACATCTTATATTTACGTTACAAATAACGTCCCCTATACTATCCTTCCCAAGACCACGGTTGTCAAGCGGCGATGTTGCTCTGCTGCTGACTCGAAAGTTGAGGTTTTGATCCCGGTCACGGTGGTCAGATTTTGATGCAGGTGAAATGATTGATTGATTGATATGTGGTGTTCAACGTCCCAAAACCACCATATGAATGCAGGTGAAATGGTTGAGTCTCGTGTGCTGTGTGATATCAGTGCACGCTAAAGAACACAACATGGTTAAAACTTCGGGAACCCTCCACTGCACATCTCTTATAATCATATCATGGTTTCGGCACGTAAAACTCGAGATATTATTACTCTTAAAATAGTGCATTGGTTCTCATTAACATGTTATTAAGATTTCACCACTACCCTTCACCAAGCACACCTCGATTGTTTTCAGCAACACCACACATAACGGGCCAAAATGATTCGAGTCAGGAAAGGGTGAGTCCCAGGCGTGTATACGTTGTGGCCTTCATGCAGAGTAGCTGGTAGCGACAGTAGTGCGTAGGCTACAGTGACAATATTTGAGCTACAGCTGATGATCAGCGCCTCTATAATTTTATTTAACCACTTAATCGTCTAAATTGCATATATAAAGCTAAGCTTCTATTCGCGCAAGGGTGATGAGTAGACGGGCTGTTCAGTCTCCCCAGTGAGCAAATTCTGCCCTTCGTTGCAGCATTGCTGAGCATCCCTCACTCAAATGGGTTCGACCTCATTTTCAGTTAACAGACAGTGCGCTATCATGAGAAACACCAACAAAACGAAGCGGCTGTGAAATACAACCCTGCCAATCAAACGTCCCAGGTCGAAAAAAAGGACAAAACGTGAATTCTAACAAGTTCCATGTCGTCGTCGATGGGGGTAATGAGCTTCACTTCTTAAATGAGTTTTTTTCTATTTCGATAGTTCTCCTGCCGGGAGCGTAACAAAATAAAAAGAAAGCTGCGTCGAGGGGACCTGACAAGCGACCTGTCGCGGATTCATATGTGGGCACATCGGGACGAAGAGTCTTGACGTTCGCATCGAGATGCAACTGGCCGCGGTTCTGTTGCTGCTTTGCTCGACTCTTCTTGTCCACGTCCGAGGGCAGGCCGGTGATGAGCAAGTATATTTCTTTAACTAGCATTGACAAAAATGGACCCCGTATCTGCATGTTATTCTGCACATGTCGTCGAAAGACGATAGTTTTGCGTGTGGAGAGAGTGAACAAAACATTTATTTTATGTTCTGCGCAAGAAAATCGATTAATGGTATTCTGGAAGCGCTGCGTTAGAGTACCTTGAGCGTGCAGCGGAGACGAACTAGCGCATCAAACACGTCACACGTGAGACATGAGCGCCATCTGGCAGTTTTTTTTTTTTTCGGAAAACGAAGCACGTGGCTTTTAGACGGGTGTGCGCACCTGTGTCAGAGGTAATTAGGTGTAGAACGCAAGACGACGGGTAGGTGCCACCACTGTCTCGTCTTAGCAAAGCGTTGGAACACCCGTTTTTTTGCGCAAGCGTCGCATGGTCAGCGCAGCGTTATAAGCTCTGCGGTCCTTAAAAGTACTTGCGCACAAGTATCCGAAGTGCGAATGCAAAACTGAAGTATAGTACGTTAAAATGAATTTCACAATGTTTTTGTCAATAAAATTACGGGAGGCGTAATCTTTGTGCCTACTTTGAACCATATGATCTAAAGCATTGCCTCCGAGATGCGGCGCACAGCAATTCATTTGTAGAGCAGCCGACGGATGACAACTTGCCCTGAGGCGTGTTCTTCAGTCTAATGCGGCAGTCTTCATGCCACAAATGATAAAAATTTGTTATGAATTGTTTATGAACTCATTCAACATTCAATTCTCTTATCCCAACGTGTTGCAAACACATGGCCATCACAGCAGCTCCATCTGTGTGTCAGTAATGGAGAGGCACCACATATTAGAAGTCTCAGTGCTCTACGTATAAAAGTGAATTCAGATACTGTAGGATACCGTGTTCAAAATAGTTACTCTTATCTGCTAAAACAGCCTTTCTTTACCAAATGCGGTCACGTTAACTCGCGTTTGAAGCTTATTGCCGGTTTTTCGTTCCGATTTCTAGATTTCTCAACTTATCAGCGCATTCTCGAAAAGCTCTCATTTGTACCACGAATATTGTCGCTAAAAACAAAATAATGCAACATGTTTTTATATTACTGTATGATAGCCTTCGGTTGTCTATTTACGACATTTTAAGAAACATCGAAGATGGGATTTTTTTATTATTGAAACTTCAGTGGACTACACTTTTGCCAATACGAGAAATTTGAGGCAATATATAAAAGTTTACATTCGCCCTACGGCAGCAATAATTTATGTACCTAATGAACACACTATATCCTTAAAACGTGTCAAGTTTGAGAACGCTGCTTGCATTACTTTCGGAGAAAAAAAATGTGGAATACGTAACTTATTTTAAACTGTCGCAAAATTAGTCATTTTTAAAAGCTATTTTCTTAAAGTCTACAAACTTGAAATCATAATAATTCATTCTTCATTAGGCATGCATTTTAGGTAAAAATTATCTTCCTTGAAACAAAAATATTTGTCTTTTTATAGCATCTGCAATTTTCGAAAATGACACATGACGAAATTGGTGCCTCCGTGTTGGTGAAGTTTGATATTTTATTTCTCCTAAGTTATACCGTTAATCCCAAAACGAAGTTGACTTTCGGGCTACCTGGTGAGAGGTGCACGAAATATAAAATACTCAATGAAATCTAAAATAGCAACTTTGGTACCCGTGTCGATCTCTCGTGGAATCACCCCAATGTAACTTTTCACAGGCATTCAGTTTGAGAGGTTCTCATTAGGGGTGCATTTGGTGCGGAAATGTAGCCTACTTGAAAAACCGTCAAGAGTGCAACGCAAAAAATAAAAAAAAACACGTAAATTATAATATTCGTCAGGGTTTAATGACCCGAAACCACGATATGATTACGAGAGATGTCGTAAAGGTGGGCTCAGGAAATTTCTACCAACTGGGGTTCTTCAACGTTCACCTAAACCCAAGCACATGTACGTGCATCAAGCTTTTTCACTTTGGTCGAAAATGTGCCTGCTGCAGCCGGAATTAGATCCTACAACCTTCAAGTCAGTAGTCGAACACCATGTCCGTTGGAGATTTCAGGGAGGAGGGGGCGATGAAACACAAGTAAAGCAAAGAACAAAATCAAGCGCTGATTTTCAGAAAAACCTCAGTGACATTGGACGAAAAAGAAGATTAATATTGACACAGAATGAGGACGTGCCGTAATAGAAAGGAGTATTAAATCACACCCCCTACCCCCAGAGAGCTGTGCGGAGTTCGCGTGCGTAAAGTCTTGCTTTAAGGTGCTTATATAGTAAGGGCAGCGCAAAGACAGAGGGAAAAGCATTCTACACAGGACGGGAGTTGTTTGTCTCTGTTTCTTTGTTTCCTGTCCCCTTTGTCTGCTGCTTTTTTTTGTACCTCTGTCTTTGCGTTGCCCTTTGCAAATAAGTATCGTGAACCAACTATAGCCCAAATCAAAGTATTGCTTCAAGGTATACAGCTTACGTTGAAAGCCAGCGTTTGTTCGTTTAATTTACACTGCCTGCGTTTCACCCTCTCTCTATTTTTTTTCTATGTACCCCCAATGTACCCACACGAACTGACCGAGATAATCACGCTCCTTCGTGACAACATGTTATATTTGTTAAATTTCGGTTTTGGGATGAAAATAGAATAGGAGACAACCGGTGAAAATAATGGCACAATAAATGTTTAATGACAATATTTCGTGTCATCTAAAGCATTCAATGTCGTGCATTGCGTAACCTCGTTGCTGAGGGACAGAACATCAAACGGGGAACTATGCATTGCGAAATTATTTAATTTGGGATGCCTCCAAAATCCTTGCTGTGGTTCGTGAACGTATGCGATGACAAGAAAGATCTACACATTTAGTTTGAGAGGTTTTGTATAGTGATCATTGTGTTTACGTGAAGCCTTCTTACGCTGTTACGTAGCAGCAACTTCGAGGACGTCCCATATTTCAAGCGACACAAGAAAGTGTACCTCACAGTACTTACGGCCCTACACTTTACAGAGAGTGGGGTTTGTAGACGTCGCTCAGATGTCCACTCCTTAGCTGACCTTCGAATAACGACGAAGTTTGAGTACTTTATTGTGCAAAGCCAATCCGAAGGAAGGCTTTGCACAGTTGAATCATTATCGTTGAGAGGGTGTACATGAAACCGCAGCGCGGGGAGCTTGCAGAAAGGTGGTTAATTTTATGAAGCTTGATGTGTTATACCATATTTTGGGAGGGGTTAGACAATTTACGCGCACACGGTGCGTTTCTGGTTTCTACTTCGTCTTTCAACCTGCGGACACCGGGTAAGTCAGGCTTTCATGCATTTTCGACAATGACAATTCGCTCTGGCCACTTTCTGTATCGTTCTACTCTGTTTTTACATCCCGCAGCCAGCTGGAAAACTTATCAGAAACATTCGCTCATAAAAAAAAAACCCGCAAGAACAAAAGATGAAATAAAATGGATGGAAGGTCTGGTTTAGTATGACGCTGCCTTTTATTTGCATTGTGCAGATGACAACGCGGAGTTTAAAGACACCGCTTAATAACTGCACAATGATGACAAACCTCCGAACGATGACACCACAGTTTTCTAGTGCCCTATGATTTAATAAACGGTGGAAATGTCTTAGGCAATCTGGGGACATGATAACGTGATACAGTGCGTAGTTATCCATTAAAATTTGAAACAGCTAAAGTAAAGAAATGAACCAGGTTAACACCTATACGTTATCTATCTATCTATATATCTATCTATCTATCTATCTATCTATCTATCTATCTATCTATCTATCTATATCTATCTATCTATCTATCTATCTATCTATCTATCTATCTATCTATCTATCTACTATCTATCTATCTATCTATCTATCTATCTATCTATCTATCTATCTATCTATCTATCTATCTATCTATCTATCTATCTATCTATCTATCTATCTATCTATCTATCTTCTATCTATCTATCTATCTATCTATCTATCTGTCTGTCTGTCTGTCTGTCTGTCTGTCTGTCTGTCTGTCTGTCTGTCTGTCTGTCTGTCTATCTATCTATCTATCTATCTATCTATCTATCTATCTATCTATCTATCTATCTATCCGCCTACGACCTTTAGCTGTACTGGCCATTTCGATAATGGTATCGATACCAAACTTGGTATGGCATAAAGTAACTGTAGATAGATAGATAGATAGATAGATATGCCCAAAGTCACCGAAGTTCGCTAAGACATGCTTCGCATTTAAAAGTGCTCGAAATCACGAGGCGCGGTAGTTTAGTTGCCCTGTCACACTTCTGCTTAGCTTCCAGCGCTTTCGTCGGGACGAGAGAAGAGGTAATGCAATTGCCGCATGCGACAAACCTTTGTAACTCCACTCGCACTGAACGGATTGTTGAAAATGTTGCAGCATTGAATTCGTGCGGCAATAAGCTATTCTAGTAAATTCATTATATGGTTACTTGAAAAAGCGTTTCAGGGCACCTTTAACGCATTTTGTTCAATAGGTGTCGCGACGAAAACGAGCCCATTCACCGATAATAGCGCGCGCTGGTCCAATCTATTGTGTGCGTGTTTGTGTTCGTGCTTGTGTATGTAACACAACATATCAATAAGTATGCACTTACCGGTTGAAGGGTGCACTAAGGGTCGGATTTCGCTATCGCGTTCAACTCTTAAAGGCCAATATGATAATCCAAATATGATATCCAAATATGATAATCATGACTCATAAGTCATGTACGGCATTATTTGCCTCCACTTCGCAACGTTGTGCTGATTTAAAGTGACATATCAACATTTCTCATTTGTGCTTCGCATATCACCGATTCCCACTGTACGTGAGATCCGCCATTCTTCTGGGCGTCATGATTGACAGGAATTTATTATGGAGCGATCACGTTTCGTACATAAAAAAACGGTTAATAGACATATGTAATCCACTGAAGTTCTTTGCAGGAAAGACTTAGGGAATGTCATTCAGTGGAATGCTACAACTGCACAGGGTACTTTTTCTCGGTTTCCCGCGGTACAGTTTACCGGCATTGACCAATGCAAGCAAAACAAGCCTACGAACGCTACAGAGTGTTCAGTCCCAGGCACTTCGGATTTGCCTCGGCTTGCCTCGTAGTGCGTCGACATTGGCTTTCTTTTATAGCAATCACCGATGACCACCTCATCACGACACATATTGACGTTAAGAGACTCAGGAAACATATAAGGCAAATCGCTCGGACACCCTGCCACTACCTAGCCTCTTTGCCAGCAGACAGACCACGTTCGTCCTTTTGCCAAACGATAACCACGTATCACGAGTCAATGTCAACATGCTTTACACCTGCCGTCAGGCCTTCGACTCCTCCTTGGTGCCTGACTCAGGCTAACATCAGGCTAACTATACCTGGCATCGAGAAAAAAGCAGATATGTCATCATCTGCATGCTCTTAGGCAGCTTGCTCTGCTCTTGTTATACGAGACGTATCAAGGCTGTATACACCTATACACCGAAGGCTCTGTTTTACAGAAGAGTTCAATAGCATCATTTGTTATACCCATAAAAGACACAACAAGCGAATTGAAGACCTCCCACCTTACGACATCAACGGGAGCGGAGCTCACAGCTCTTCGGGCCACATCGCAATTCATCAGGAATCAACAGGCGCAAAAATGGACAATTTTCAGTGATTTAAGGCGGCACTGCAATTCCTTCTATCACCTTTGTGGCGTGGCCCGTAGGAACAACTGGTATTCTAGATTGCAGAAAAGACTCACCATTTCATTGGGAAAGGATGTGAAATAGCCTTTCAATTGCTTCCAAGTCATTGTGGAATAATTGGCAATGAACGGGCCGATGGAGCTGCCCGTGCTGCCCATACTGAAAGCGATCAAATATCGATTCCGCTCTCCAGAACTGACGCTGCATGAAAACTCCGCATGCTTGCTCGCAAGCGCACCACGTCGCAATGGACCAAGTCAAATTTGATCCATTCACAAATATGTACCTTAACCCAACTCCCAGTCTTCGCATTCCTCCAGAACTTCACCGACTAGACGCTATTATGCTGTGCAGATTACGGTTGGGGATCGCATTTACCAATGCCGCATAGAAATGGCCGACACTGCTGCATGCGACCATTGTGGCAGTGACAAAACAGCTTGACACATTCTGTGTGAATGCGCACAATGCTGCTCGCAGAGACAGTCACTCTGCAATTCACTAGACGAACTGGACAACCAGACTCTTTCGGAAGAAAGAATCCTGCGCTACCGACAAGACTTCATGTCGCAGAAGAAGGCTGTGATGGCGCTCCTACGCTTCTTGCGTTCAACCGGCCTGTCCAAATGACTGTGATTGGAGTGCCCTGCATGTGTGTGCATGTGGATTTTTTAACAATTTATTTTATATCTCTCTATACCTATCATCTCTCCGACCCCTATTTCCCCACCCCCGTACAGGGTAGCAAGCCAGTTCTTCTAGGTTAACTTCCATGTCTTTTCCTTTTTTTTATTTCTCTCTCTCTTCAGCTTACTTAGCTTCTCTTTTTCTGTCTTTCTTATTTACTCTCTTTTTTTTAACACGGAAGCGTTTTATACCACCCGGGATTCAGGGGCGTATTTCCGTCGCGGAAATGACGTCGAAAAGATGTGCACCATGAGATGGCAAAGAAAACCTTCAATGAAACAGTCGTCTGGATGATGTGCCAGCAAGCGTCAACGCGGGTGCGTTCACATCAAACGGTACTACAGGTGCCAAAAACCAATAGACATAGCGCAAGCTCGCTTATATCAGTGCATAGGTCTGCGAACTCACTCGTGAGTCAGCTCACGACTCACGGCTCAGACTCAGATCAAGCCGTGAACCGGAGTCTGAGTGGGTCTGGGTGAGCGATATTTCGGTGAGTTTGAGTCCGAGTGAGTCCGGTCGAAGAAAATCTTCGTGAACTTGAGTTCGAGTGAGTCCGGCTCAGCGAAATTTCAGTGAGTCAGAGTCCGAACGATCCTTAAGCGCAAAGTACATTTCATGAGTAAGTCTGAGTGAGCTCCACAATTTTCGCCGACCTATCTTTAAGTGTACTGTAAACATTAAACCATCTCGTTAAACACGCGTTTTACTTTCGCCTTATACCAAATCCTAAAACAGAAGGTCCGCCATGTTGTCTCTGTCATATCTCTGTTTATTTCTTTTTCTTGTTTTCTCCCTTTCTTCCCTTCCTTTCTATGCAATTCTCTCAGTTTTTTCTGTGATATCTCTTGCTTTCCCCTCTTATTTTACATCATCTTCATCCTCACATATCTCGTCCTCCCCATCCATTCCCTTTTCCACCGCCTTACTATACTATACTATACTATACTATACTATACTATACTATACTATACTGTGCTATACTATACTATACCATACTATAATATACTAAACTACGCAAGACTATGAAATGCTCTGCTTGCGAACCCGGATTGCCGATAACGACGCTTGGTTTCAGATGACAGTTCAGCCGATTGGAATAGCGGCTCACCAAGAAATTGCTTTATCCTAGAGTTTCTCTCTTTCTAATTATTTCTGCCTCTCGGTATTCATTCCCTCACTTATCAGCGTTATCGCATTCCGGACCAATCGGTGCAACCGTTTCGGGAGCAAAGTAGGCTGTGAATAACACGAAAATGACGAACGGAGTGCGTTTCGAATGACGGCCGGGTTCAAGTAATCCCACCGGACACAATTTCATACGTCTGCTTACACAGCCATTTGTAAGCGAAATTCGACACAAGCTCCTTCAGCGAGTCGTCACAATAGCTGGAGGGTGACGTGCTCACCTAAAGACAAAGACGCGCTATTTCGATTGCGAGGTGCAGGTTAAAAATGCAACGTTTTCAGACGCTCAAAAACAGAAAACGACCCTTCAGAAAGCAACAACAAATACGAATATCTTCTTGATGCGTGCTGCGTCTCTTTGTAAACAACATCTAGCAGAAAATAACGTTGTTCTTTTTTTGTTATTTTCACGCGGACAACACGGGCGCAGTTGTCACTATATTCTAGAGTGGTGGCACACGTTCCCTACGTAGCCTTCCCTTCATTGCCACAGGAAGTTGTCCCCACATATAGAGATAACGGCGCGACGCCACGGCGAAGAGCTATGCTGATTATAATAAATAGTATTTTGAACACGCCGAAAACAATCTGCTGTACAAGCGACAGAGAGCTCGTTTGCGAAATAATTGTTAATTAGGGCGTAATTTGCAGGCAAAAATTTGCATAAGACACGAATGGGTTTGTCCTACACAATTGCTGTGTTCGTACAATCATGTAAAGCTGTAGTTATTTTACTCCTGTACCCATTTCCATCCGCTCTAAATACGCATTTCGCTGCTCAGAGCCTTGTGGATTCAGCTTGATATGTAACCAATTAGCCCAAGTCAACGTAACGTTTAATAAAAGGAAAGAAAACCCGACGGAAAAGTAAAGATGTAGGTTCGCGTTCTTGTACTGGTTTCAAATGTGGTCATATATCGTATGGTGTTGAACTATAAAGGCAAGAAAAAATATACCAAGCTTATTTCTGCATATTTTGATTCACACCATTTACGTTCATTATGCATAACAAAAAAAAAAATGACTGCTACTTGAGTTACATTGAAACATGGAAGAAATATTCGTAATGATTGTATGACATGCCGAAACGCACTTCTTTGAAGAGATGTTTCTTGTTTTGTGGTGTTACAGAGGCCAGAACGTGGAGGAACTTGTGCCCAGACAATGAGAACAGCATAAGCAATGACAACGCTGACCTGGATAATACACCGACTGAAGGTGGGCTTCGACGTTTTGAGATAAGCGAGAAATTAAAGGCGCGGGATGTGATAGTTGAGTTGGCATTAGAACACGCCCTTACTGTAAAGGCGTTGGGTTCAGTATCAACCGGTGGTGAGCAGTTCCGAAGTAAAGTAGCCTGTGAAGATTGTGTTGGTGGTGTTCCAAAAAGCCCATGATTGCTGAAAAAAACACGTGGCGCAATCTTTGAACAAGCCTCATAATTCACAGCTGACACGCACTTAAAATAATAAATAATGACAAAATTTTTCTTTAAAACTATTTCATATAAACCGATATCAATGTGAAATCAAAGCACATAAAAATAAATCGTATTGTTGGGTACCTATCTCCAATATTCGGCGCTGCGTGAACGACCCTGTAGCTATATGAACTGATCAATGCAAATGGTACTCCTCCATGTGCTTCCTTAACCTCCCGAGAACCGGCATTGCGAAATTTGTCTAATCTATTGAACATTGTAACACAGTGCACCAAAGCTTTCAATGCACTTGCCTCCTCCTGTGGAGCATTTTCATGGCTGCTTGCGGGACCCGCGCTGCCGTTTAGTGAATGTGGTCCCAGTCGATGTGTTTTCCGCCTCCTAGGAGCAATCGAAGTGACGGGACTGAGCACGAACGACTTTTACAGCTGCCGCCAAAGTAGTCAGTGCATTTGTATTCATTTTGAATGTCTTAAAGCATATTTAGGCATTGATTTGGGTTCCTATGAGATTGAAACACAGAAAGAAATTCACATTCGACAGAAATTGGGGTAGTTATTTTACATACATTGGTAATTGAGAATGTTCAATACCATGGACAATTGGTCTTAGTGACAACAAAGACGCGACAGTACGCTCTTGCGCTCTCTTGGCGTTCTTCTGACAGTAACTCATTTTTCGCTGCAGTTATAAATATTACTCTTAAACTTCACGTATTTTTCTTTGTAGGTAATAGCGACACAGTGATAGTGCATTAATAATGTGAGTGATGTCACAGCTGAGAAAATATTACCCAATATTTGTATTCTCGGTTTATAAGCAGCAAGTAAAAGTGTGTTTGTGTTCCAAGATGTCTTTTCTCGGTCACGCGCCTCGACTACACCCTGCTCTCTGTTCTGCAAAATTGTCCCCCTAGAGTTCCAATGTCCAATATATCGGACGACGTGCCGCGTCCAACTCGTATACTAAAAATCCACATGACACTTCTCACCTTTGCAACACACACACACACACACACACACACACACACACATACATATATATATATATATATATATATATATATATATAGAGAGAGAGAGAGAGAGAGAGCTTCTGTGCCTATTTTTCGCCTGTACCGGCTAAAGTCAGTTAAGTCACAGCTTCCTCAACTGAAATATGATTTTCGTTTTATTCATGCGATCGCCAACCAGATTGGCTTCTTCAGCAAAATGAGATGTCATAGTCACATTCTGATTAAATCGACCAAAACAAAACAAAATGAGACAAAAATCCCGTTATGGGCAGAGTCTCCGAACGTAGACAGGTATGTTAATGTGCATTTTATCTATTGAATTTAAAAATCCCCCCCCCGCCCCCTACACCGTAATGCCACGTTGCGCATGACCTTTGTTTTGTACTCAACCTTGGCAAGTATACACATACCGACAACCATATGTGTTGCGTGTATAATATTTGCTGATTGACGTCTTCTAGCCATAAGAGTGATATGATTATGGACAATTCAGGCATGTTGAAAATTCGAAATATAGTTATAATTTGGAGTTATTAATCAACTCAAGAGCGAGCGTAGATGCGACAAATATAATAGTAAAAACACAAACAAGTCTACATTTTTCGTTGTATTCGTGATAACAGTTACATTCGCAAATTTAACCTTCGCTCAAGGCTCTGTTAAGCTGACATCAGTAATTTATCACTGCCGGAACAAATTGTACTTCAATGAAATACCTCTGCTTTGACGTTTATTTTCTAGAGGGGCACGAGGCACATATCCTCGTGAAAGTATTAGCAGACAAATGTACAAACATACAATTTATTTTGCCTTTATGGTGACATGCGCATGTGACACTCAAAATCCGGAACACGTTTTATTTCATCTATTATTTATTGGTAGCCTACACATGAACTCATCTTTAGTGTTGAGCATGGCCGTGATTTCCAAACTTTGCAAGTAAAAAATGCTCTTGACGTCAAACATAACGTGGCGTCGAATTCGAAGCCAGATGGGAATACTCTTTATACCGATATACAAAGATAATGCAAGGCTCCAAATAACTTTTAGAGCGAAATAATAAACTAGAAAAATTAGCATAGTATATATAAAGAACTAAAAAAGCTGGCCATCTGTTAACAAACTTATATCGTTTACAGGTATTCAGAAAAATAACTTGACAGTGTCATTATACCTATTGTTATTTGTCACAATAACTTCAGATGCATCGTTGTTTTGATTATACTAATCGTAATTATAAGACTACAATACTCTGTGCTAACAGTGGCATTGTATACAGTCTGAGCATGTACTGACATCATGACTGCTTCGCAATCATAGAATTCATAGCATGCACATGCATTAGCTGAAAACTTACATTTACACCTAATCAGCATTGCTGAATTTGATGACAAACCTTATGAGGTACATTTAAGGTAAATATTGTAGTACGTCCATGTCCATTCTTGCTTTCATAAATTTCGATAATAAGAGAAATTAAAGGCCTCTGAGGTGTCTGCTGCTGCATGCTGCTGATTTCATTCACTTGCAGGAGAGCGCCTGTTTTTGACGCCTCTTATCAACGCGGGTAGTCTCGAGGAGGCCAAGTCGTACAGCAGGGTGGGGCCCATCGGGGCTGATTACGAGGTGCCCAGTTACTCTGGCTACATCACTGTCAACCCACAGTACAATAGCAACCTATTCTTCTGGTTCGTGCCTTCACTGGTGAGTTAGGGTAACTTCCTAGCAACTGTTACGTCTTTCAGCCAGTGTGGTAGTCTATAGAAGCACAATTATGCGACCTCTCCACTCGAATATTTTTTTCCGGAAGACGAAAATTATGTGACGTCACCATAATGTGGTAATTACTATCATACCCAAAATTATTAAGCACATTCTAGCCATCGTCATTGGCGTCAGTGATGTCGTGCTGCCACGCAATCGATGGCACGTGCGCGCCTATCGCTTGCTCTTCGCAAGCAAAAGTGACACGAAAAATGCTCGAGCAAAATTTTCCAAAGAGTGTGAGATTGAGGCTTTAAACCTGATAACAATTGAGGTGAGTGTGTCCACAGAGATTGAACAACCTCAGTGATGGAGTCAAAGCCACCATGTTATTCCAATGACTATACGCTATCGCTCTGACAATTTCTTGGTCGCGTTGGTCGAGTTGGAAGCATTTCTGTGGAGGTGAAACACAATACGCACGTGCATTAACACTTTCAATTTAAGCAAGGTGGTTTCTCAACCGATCAATTACAAATGTTAGGGGTCAGTTGTCTGTAAAACCTATAAAAGCTTATGAGATAGCATATTCGAACAGTTTTTAAAGGGTGGGAAGGCATCTCGACCCCTTTAATAGGCTACAAGTGAAAAAATATTCGTTTTGCACCCCGTTGTCACATTACACTTTGTCTGAAATAGATAGCGAGGCACTCCTTGAAGCCATATTGGCTTCGAGGCATCAACAGTGTTGAATATGAGGAACGGGCTCCGCAGATACTTAAAACCTGTATAGCCGTGCCTGAAATGGTGAGTGGTAGCCGCCAGATGTTTATGCACTGTACAGAGTCGCCCTTTTGAACGACACCGTGTAAGGCCAATTTTGCGTGCTTCTTGAGTTATGCATGCTCGAGCTCGTCGACAGCACTTTCTAGGTCTACAGCACTGGCGTCAATTAAGCGACAAAATATATTAATATGCACCACTGCGTATTCCGGAGAGAATACATTCCCATTCCACTTTTCAACAGTGGCGTAACGCAAACGACATGGAAGGGGAGCAGAGGAATCCGAAAAAATTAAAAGATGTATCTGCTCTGTTTCAAAAAACAGTATCTGTAGAGATATTCGTATTTTCCATTCGTATTTTATCTTTTTCAGAAAGACCCAGAGAATGACCCAGTGATACTGTGGATGCAAGGGGGACCTGGTACATCCTCACTCCTGGGATTCTTCAACGAGCATGGTCCTTACTATCTGTCCGATGATGGCAACGAGGCGGCCTTTCGTGATCTCACCTGGGCGAAACGCTACTCGATGCTCTACGTAGACCAACCCGTGGGGACGGGATACAGTTACACCGAAAACGACGCCGGCTATGCCCGCAATCAGACCGAAGTTGGTCGCGACATGTTCGAGTTCCTGCAACAGTTCTTCACGATGTTCGGCGAGCTGGCCCAGAACGACTTTTACATCGCGGGTGAATCGTACGCCGGTAAGCGCATTTTACAATATCGCAACGCACGCTTCAAAAACATCATTTTCGGATTCCGATTCGAAGACAGTAATTTACGACCACTTTCTCACTCCCATTCTGTTTCATGTCAATCGACCTACAAAGTAGGAAGATGCTTTAGCTAAGTAAACAGTGAGATGAGCGAAAACAAGTAAGCCAACAATCGCACTAAAAGTAAAAACAAACAAAATATGTGAGTAAATAAGACATAGCAATGAATCTACTCCTGCTCCTGGTACTAAGACAGCTGATTTTCGCTCCTGCGTTCACTTCTAGTTCCTGTTGCTATACTCATTGGCAAAAGACATGGTAAGTAAAAATTAAAGATGAAAAGGCTGCTACATTGCCCTCGTTCAATCTAAGCACAATTCATTACTGGTTGTCTCGCAGATTTTAGTACTTGCTTTATTATGTCCAGGACTACCTTTCTTTATTCATTTCTCTAGCAGTAAACTTTTGACTTTTTGCTTTCTTTGCGGTTGAATTCAACAGAATTTCACCCCATCTGCATAACAAACTATTTATTACGAGTAATAATTACATTTAGGTGAATATCTGGATTTATTTATTATACACATCAATACCCCTGCCCTTTTCAGTTGTTCATTTTGTCTACCATTTTTCTTTTTTTCCACGCGCACGCGCCCACTACCGCGTGTCTCTTTCAGCACAGTGTCCACACAAGGCCGCTCGATTTACGTTGAAGGTTTCTTAGGGATAAAAAAAAAAGCTGGCTCGCTACAGCTGCGGGCTCCTTGACTCTGGTTACGCATGATTGTGCCCTGGTGCATGTTCTATTGTTCTGTCTTTAAGCAACATTCCCGCCGTTTTGCTATATTGTCATAATCAATAATAGGACTTACTAATTCATCTTTCTTCCCGTTCCTGTGGTATGCAGGAAAGTACGTGCCGACTGTGGGGGCCGCGCTGCACGAGAACGCGGACACGATGCGGGTCAAGATTAACTTCCGCGGCATCGCCTACGGCAACGGTCTGACGGACCCTATAAACATGATGGATTTCGGCAGTTTCATCTACGGCATCGGCCTCATCGACCGCGCCGCCGCTGACTACATGTTGCGAGTCGCCAGGGATGCGGTCGCCATGGTCCGCGCGGGTAACACAGTCGAGAGTGGCCTCATAATGGACCGCCTTTTCTTCGGCATCCTGACGCACGAAACTTTCTTTCAAGAACGTCACGGGCTTCGACTACTACTACAACTACCTGACTGACACGGAGCCCGAAGGCAGCAAGGCGTACAAGGCATTCGTCCAGAAGCCCGAGGTCAGGCGCGCCCTGCACGTGGGTTCACAAGGATTCAGCATGGGTCGGGAACTCGTGGCGGCCCACTTCATCACCGACATTATGCGCTCGGCGGTGCCGCAGTTCACCGCGGTGCTGGAGAACGGCTACAAGGTGCTGGTGTACAGCGGCCACTTGGACATCTGCGTGCCCACGACGCACACCGAGAAGTTCCTGGCCAACGTGGCCTGGTCGCACGCGGACCGGTGGTCTCACGCACCCCGCCACATCTGGCGAAGCGCCGACGGCAAGCGCCTGTACGGCTACAAGAAGACCATCGAGAACCTGAACTTCGTAGTGGTTCGCAACGGAGGTCACGTTCTGCCTTACGACCAGCCCGAGGCCATGTTCGAGCTCATCACAGCCTTCATCGACAACGAGCCGCCTTTCTCCGCTCAGGCTACCTCTACCGCGTAGGCGACACACATGTCCCGGCGCTCACGCGTAATTTGTTCGGGAAGCGGGGTATTCGTGAATATACGTAAAGAAGAACATAACATAGAACAAATTTACCTTGAAGATTCATCGTCAGCATATATGCGCTAATCTTTTTTGTCTACAGCTCCACAATACGCACGTTTAAATAAAACAGTATACAGAATTGTGCTATCATATATTATCAGTTGGCACGCGACAAAGGTAAATCTTGTTGCTTGGCTACTTGGTGAATGTTACAAGGAAACTGTACGACGAAAACCACCGAGGAACAATAGGCGAAAGGAAAGAGGTTGCGAGCGGACGTTCTTTCCTTTCGTCTATTCATCACCGGTGGTATGCATCAACTAAGTTTTTTGTTAGTGAATGTTGCTTTGGGCCTGTCGTTCGCCGCTAAGTAGCCATTCCTGGTCAATATCACTTTGCAATTTACCACACGCACCACTGTTATTTGAACTATATTTGCACTACTTTTAGTGCACATGCATGGAGTTGGTCTTACTTATTTTAACGGGAGGCACTCGACAAAAATAGTTCGTGGTCTACCAGCCGCCACAGCAGTTGCTTGACCTCACCGAGGCTATTGCCTAGAATACTTATCACATCTTTGCTGACAAAGAAGCCATTTTACAAACGACAAAAACATACTATATGCAACGAAGAACCTGTTCGGGGAACTCCCCTCCATCGGCAGTGGAGATCTAACCCATAGTGCCTCATACTTTGCGGTGAACGCAACAGCACTTCGCCAGCACTATAACAGCATAAGATGGTGAGATTGCTGTAGCTTTCAGGACCTTATACATTAGAGCCCAATGAAGGTGGCCCTGCCCTTCCTCTTTAAGCTTTTGAATAACCGATAAAGTGCACGACTCAATTTAAGCTCCTCCGTGCGAACTTTTTGTTGTTGATGTCATCCACATCAACAGATGCGTCTTTGTTGAAATAAAACTGAAAAGTCTTGATCCAGTATGACTTCGGACTTAGTTAATTAGTAAAATAATAATAATAAAAAGAAGCTAATAAACGTAAAGCAGGCGTTAACTAAGCCGAACTTATGAGGGAACCAAATTCACGAAACACAAGAAAGATATTGTTGCGTGGATATCTTTCTTGTGTTCCGTCTATTTGGTGCGCTATACAATTTGCAATCATGCTTTACCAGCCCGCCCAGTCTTCAACTTCAGCAAACATTTGTTTGGATGTTGTGGTATCTCTATCTGTCATAAATACGATGCAGGATGCTGTCGCTTAATTACCTCTACGAAGGTGTGATTAGTAGAACAGCATATGCTTGTGAGCGTCCAGCTTGTTCCCCATAGTATTGTTTGGACTATAATTAAAGCCATACAAACTGATAGTCTCAAGAGCGAAATGGGCAAAACTCTACGTCAATTTCACAAAAGCCGAGCTTATAGATCAATCGACAACAGCCTCGGAAAGTATGCCTTAATAAAGAGATGTGATTATGAATGATTCAATGTTAGTTGTCATGCGCTTGCTTTGCATACATAGGTACGCCGATACAAAATAAATTTCATAAACGGGCCATGTTGTGCAGAATGAACTTGCCGGGGACGTGCCCAAGCACTGATTAAAGCATTTTTCGGTCAATATTTCCACAAGTGGAGTATACATCCGTTTATAAAACCACAATACTCACAGGTAAGAATCCGTAAACAGAGGTGTGCTCGAGCCTAGAGCATACCCCTGATTATAGATTTTTTAATCAGAAGCTTCCATTTCCTTCTACCTGCCACTTTCTTTATAGTTCACAAGCGTTAAATTTTGGAATTTCGAAGCAAACGTCCTTACACAATCTAATTCAAATGGACAGTGCAAAAGTTCAGGCTCGGTTGTACCATGTGCAAGGGAAGTAAGTGAGCTGTTGATTTCAGCCTGCTGCGCTTGGTGGTTGTGGGCTGCTGCAGAATACCAGTTATGGTGCGCTATCTGGGAAGCACCAGTAGATTTAAAGATAAACAAATGTAGCAAATATAACAAGCAACTGGCAACAGCCATGACTCGGAAACGATTTAGGTATACGTAGAGGTCAGGAGTGCATATTTTGCCTTAATACGGAATTCACCATCGTGTTCATTCTGGCGGCTCACAGTGGCGAAAAGAACGCCTTCAATGGTCTGTTAAATCCACACCCATGACTGAATTCCGCTGTGTAGGATTTCAATACCCATAAGTTCACTGCAGGCATGAATTAACTCTTTGTGCACGTGCTTGTATTTGCTTCACAGAAGAAGAGGAACAAAGAGAGAACGGACATGCGGCGCATCGGTGCGCCTGGAGCGCGACTCAATTTCACTGTTATATACGATTAACCGCTAGTAGGTAGGCACGTTATGTTGTTAAAGGAATGTAAACGCCCAAAATATGGGGTAACTGAACAAGAAGCCGACAGACGTTCGAGCTTTGGAGGTTTGCAAAGAATGCTGGGATGAATTTTGACAGTGGGCTAACTTAGTTGGCTTAGGGCTAATTTATTTGGATTTCGGGGTCTCGAAACGCAGCGGGACTCATTTTCAAACTTATCACAGTAACCACTATAGAAAATGCCAGGAGAGTGTTAGGAGAGAATCAGCGAATAAGCCGTCGTTCACTGTGCGCAGAATAAAAGATACGCGTATACATGAGGTGATGCATTCAGTGTGGATGGTCGGTATACAAACGTCATGACCAGGGCTGCGCAATCACGTCTCCCCTTCGCCTACTGTTCGATAGACCCATTGTTAAATATCCGAGCTAGTTGTCATTCGATTCTGTCATCGTGTGCAGCGCCTGAATTTGACCCCAGCGGCACTGCCCGCTTGCACTCCTATTACTTCGACAGACATGAAGCTTGAAGCAGCTACGGCCCTGCTCGAATGCGTGACGCACCTCACTTGAATTGAAGTTACTTTAGTATGTATGTATGTATGTATGTATGTATGTATGTATGTATGTATGTATGTATGTATGTATGTATGTATGTATGTATGTATGTATGTATGTATGTATGTATGTATGTATGTATGTATGTATGTATGTATGTATGTATGTATGTATGTATGTATGTATGTATGTATGTATGTATGTATGTATGTATGCATGTATGTATGTATGTATGTATGTATGTATGTATGTATGTATGTATGTATGTATGTATGTATGTATGTATGTATGTATGTATGTATGTATGTATGTATGTATGTATGTATGTATGTATGTATGTATGTATGTATGTATGTATGTATGTATGTATGTATGTATGTATGAAAGTGTGTGTTTGCAATGCGCTACCTTTCTACTCGGAGATGGAAGACTGCTGATAAGCTTTTCAAGCAAGTCGGTCGATGCGAAAAGAAAACCAGGTGAATGCAGTGGGCTCCCTAGAGGGCATTACCCAACAATGTTGGTTGATAGAACACTTGTCTTTTGTTCTTCCGTACTTCGTTTTTCACAGCAGACAAATTTTGGTCGAGATTTGCCTTGTGTAGCAGACAGAAAATGTGCATCATCAAGAACCTACGCGCGCTTATTCAGCACCCAAGTACAGGTGGTCAACAAAAGATGATGAGACGTGTGGCCCCTGGTTGGTGTTTTCCTCCCACGTCTTTCTTTACGTTTTCTGGACCAGTGTAGCGAGTATTGAGATTTGCCGAATTTCTGGAGTAAATACACCATATAGGAGAGAACAAGCATGGCCTTGTACAGCATAGTATAGCAAGCGGTGAGGAAGAGGCAGATGAGGCGGTAAGAGCCTAGCCAAGCTAGCATCAGCTATAGGTGCCCAGATGCTGTGACAGCTTAAGGCTGCGCGAGGCTTCAGGTGAAAGTTCACTGCTGCTGTAATTGTAGTAAATGCGGATAGTATAATTATAGCATATGCTATAACTTCTACAAAGATAACCAAGACTATATGTTAGGGAAACCTTTTATTACAATTTTTACTGTTGAAAGCAAAATGGATCAGCAAGGGAAAGTAATATTTACAAACCGTTTTATGGGGTGGATGTCTTGATGTTGACGACAGTGGAAAACGCACACTGCGATGGGAGCGCGCGCATACCAGCTGTTCGCGGCCACGAACTTCATGCATCCAGGAGAAAACTGTTGTTCAAAGCAGGTACTTTACGCACGACAGCGTCTGCCCAATACGACCAAAAAGCGACATAAGCACGAACTGTAATATCCTAAACACTTCAACGGATAATCATAGTCGTAAATTATTATCGACAACTCTGTATCAGAGAAAAGAGGCTGGTAGTATTTCGGTTGGTATAGACGAATAAAGGTACAGGACTTTCTGACAACCTTTACAACTAACATGGGATTTTGCTTCCTGTATTGAAGACCATCTTTTTAGGAAGCACACATGAACGGACAACAAGAAAAAAAAACTATACACAAGCGTACCTTCTGCGCAGGCTTGAGAAGCACGTCTGCTGTTGTATTGCACAAAATAGTCCGTACCAAAAGTTGCATCGCAAAGAAGGTGACATACCTATGAAACAATACGGTAACTGAATGTTTATCTTGGACAACGTTCAGCACGAGACATTCTTCAAGAATTATTATTTAAGCTGAAAAATAAATCATTAGAATGGCAGAGGATGTTCACCAATTTAGTCTGTTTGATATATCCTTGTTCTGAGAGTGCATAGCATTAAGTACAGTACAACTATATGGAATTTTCATCTCCGAGGAAGACTCCTCATGTATGCCATGTTGCTTCGCAAAGACAACTTCGTAAGTATAGCGTAAGTAGCTTTAGTATAGCGACGACAATAACTTGACCCAAGCACAACTCATCCACTCTCTCGCCTGAACTTTTACTTGACGCTATACACCTGTCAAGAATGTAACGACTTGCTTTCATTGCAGAAATATATGTTGGTAACACTTTTTTACACACTCTTCTAAGGGAGTGTGGCAGTGTACCGCAAAGGCCAAACACCTCTGCAAATACGCACGCAAACTAAAAACCTCGACACATTGACGGAATATCGCAAGAGATGTTTCTGGCTCTGCAGGATTTCGTGTTAAATCGCTTCAGTTCGCCAAACTATACATATGTTTTGTAAT